CCTTCCGTTTTTTTTTTTTTTTTTAAATGAAAGCTACCCAGCCAGGCACGGTGGTTCATGTCTATAGTCCCAGCATCTAGGCATTGAGGCAGGAGGACCACTGTGAGTTCAAGGCCAGCATGGACTGCATAGCAAGGCTCTGTCTCAAAAAAAAAAAAAAAAAAAAAAAAAAGCTACCCAGTACCTCTTTAGCGCTTAAAAACAAAAAAGCAATCAGAATCAATAAATTAGTATCTTATTTTTTTTATTTACATGTAGTTATTCAGGAGATTAATTCTACTCCATTGGTTATATTCCTAGGTATATACGCAACAGAAAAGCATACCTATGTCTACCAAAAAGTACCTATGTTCACTAAGACATGCACCAGAATGTTCACAGTAATATTACGCAAGATGGTCCAAACTGGAAACTATCCAAAAGCTCTGTTAAATAAACTGTGGTATATCCCACACAGCAGATCAAGGAAAATGTACAATCTATGGCCAAATACAATGTGGGTGACTCTCCAACTGCTGATAAAAGACCGACCCAAGACTGACTGCTGTGCAATTCCACATAGAGAAAGTACAAAACTTGGCAAAAATGATCTATAGTATAAAAGCCAAGGCTGGGCGTAGTGGCACATGCCTTTAAATCCCAGCACTCGGGAAGCTGAGACAGGAGGATCGCTGTGAATTCAAGACCAGCCTGAGCTACATAGTGACTTCCAGGTCAGTCTCCACTACATAATGAGACCCTGTCTCAAAAAAACAGAAAAAATAAAAAAACAAAATAAAAGCCAAGATACAGTAGTAATGACTTTTGGAGGAGCAGTGACTAGAAGGAGCAAGAGGAAGGTGTGATGGTGCTGGAAATGTTCTGTCTCTTGAGCAGGACGATAGTTTCTGAAAACTCAACAAGCTATAAATGTATAATACATTTTCCTGTTTACTGTTTACTGTAACTCAGGAAAAAGTTTAAAGGCAACGCCACGACCAAATGGGCAACCTTATCTACAAACCAC